TTATTTATATTATTTTTCCCAGTGATTGCATTCCAAAAATATTGAGCGTGTAGCATGTCGTTGTCTCTGTCTGCTGTCTGTTATCTTAAAAACCTTGTTGTCGTCTTAATTATTGCGTTAATGAGTTTTCTGTTTGCTCTTCTTTCTCCTCTTGGCCAACCCGTTCTGGCGGTCAGTAATACACCATCTCGTGCTATTATCAATCAATCGGCGATCGGCGATTGTCGATCGACCGTCGATGTTCGATCGTTGCCCGGATCGCAATTCCACAGGAGGGATTCTGGCCTGATCATAAGCCACGATAAGCGGCCAATCTACAATATGTTTGTATAATAAATAGTGTGAGTGCTATCGCCTTGCAACTGATATTTATTAAGAACCGACGATAAGCGATCTTACTTAGCATGCCGCACTGGAATCGCGAAAAAATACAAACAAACCAGCTTAAAAGAAAGGAAGGTATGCGATCATAAAGCCCGACAGGATACGGATTTCCAGTAGTTGGGGGTCACAGCTTATGGATTTCCATGACGGAGCAGATCGACCTCCGGCGTCCCAAGTCCCACATTTAATTAGCGTGTTCAATTATACTCTCACATATCCACAACTCAACACAATGGATCAATAAACAAATTATCGGGGTGTGCGTGTTCCATTTCATTGCCTTCACTCCAAATTCAAGATTGATTAATTGTGGGAGCCAAGATTTCCCACTGCGAAGGGTTCTTATTTTTCCTTCGTCGGTCTACGTCGATTTCTTCGACCTCTGTGCGGTTTTCCAACCCGATCACATCAAGAAACCAGTGAGGTACTCAACCGTCCAGTTCACTCGGAGGAGTGAAAAATTAATGATTTGTTGATTTATGAATTGGAACGGGAGGTCAAGTCAAGTGTACAATGATAAACGAAGGCAAAACCCAGAATATCGAGACCTAGGAGGGGACAGCCTGCCCGACTGTCTGTGGGGTCTCTCCGGAGAAATTTTGTGGGTGAGTAATTGAGGATGATCACTGGACCGGGAAGTTAAGCTGGTGTCTATATGTGGATTTATTATGGGAACTATTCGGTTGCTAATAAATTGAATAATTCTGTTTAAGAAATTTAGTTTCTTTGAATCTAAAAAGGGTAAACTCAAAAAATATATTTTAAGACTTATTTTTTTAAAAAAAAGCTAATAAAAAACTCAAACGGAGAAGACCACTTAAGAAACTATTTTCGTAAATAACCCAAATGGAAGCAGAGTTAAAACATTCAGAAGCATAACAATCAAAGCTCTATAGAATTGAATTGTCAGATCAATAAGACAGTTAAGACATTCAGAAGCAAAACAATTTGCAGTAAAACAGCACTAAAATAAATTTCTTTCCATCATCAGCCTCGTCCAGCATCAGATTCGTTCCAAAACACAAACAATAGATATCCGCTCCTCGAGGCCAAGACAATGCTCCTCATCTGGAGTCCATTTGGGTGACATCAAGTGTTGGTGATAATTTCGGTTGCATGTATGTGGCTGTTTTTGGTCAGGGGGACAAACTTTATGACCGAGGAGCATTTGTGACTAAATGCACCTGGAACTGGGCGAGCTACCATCGGGCAGGTTGGACGCATTCTTATGCAAATCGCCTCTCTGGGTGCCAACAAAGGAGATCACAGTCGCACTGGAATAAGGTCTACATTTTGTTAGCGATTGTTAGTAGCTTATTGTTTGGCCAGTTTATGGATCGCCAATTTACGACTGCTAAGAAGGAAACGCGGTGCAGAGTGTCGGATGACACAGAGTGCTACCAGAGTGCCCCGAATCCACACCCTAGAACATGTTAATTTCCCGATTGTTTGGACGCTACTGGGCTGTTCAATTTGTTTTCACTTTTAAGCACAGACCGAACATAATTGCAACAACTTAAGAAATCACAACAAACAAGCAAAAAATACTCAAATTCGACCAAAGTGAAAACCCCAGACATTCAAATTGATTACACACACATACACCTTTCCGCCGAGGTCCGGGGATGGATCCTGTTCAGGTCTTCTGATAAACATGACTGGGCGAAAACTTTTATTCAGTTTGTTTGGGCTGATGCTTGTTTTTATTGTTTAGCTCGTTATCAAGTCAAAATAATCAGCAGCAGAGGCTGCCGGCCGACTGCGGCACTAACAATTGTCATTGTTAAAGGCAAGCCGAGCTCACAGGAGCCAAGTTCAAGTCCCTGGCAAATGTGCCCCATCATGCCACGGACTCTGGTCGGGCACCCCGTCCTTCCAAGCCTGGGCCCATAAAAGTGAAGCTCCTCATCATCGCCACCGAAACAGAATCAAAATCAGCAGAAGCTAAAGCAGCAGACGCCCCAAACAATGCAACATGATTCGCGAATTATAAACACCACGCGCTGATCCAAGCAACTGAGAATCCTACCTACGAATACAGATTACTCTTGAATCAATATTCAAAACTTTTTTAAAATAGTTGGAGTTAGAAGGGTTGCTTTCGATTTCTCTTGATATCGATAGCCCCAACTAAACTAATACAATCCAGGTGCATATCGAACTGCAAGTATTTAACTCGGTCGGCCGTGTATTAAATGTCTCGGAAGAAGGTATTTAAATTATTAGTACTTTATATATTTGTTAAACTGCAAAAACTACTGCCAAAGCTCAATCGTCCAGCTATATTCTTTCTGCTAAAGTGTATTTTAACCATCATTTTCGTATATTTCTGGAGCAATATAATCTGAGGCCGTCTCAAAATTAAGCAGCCGCCACAGACGGACCCCGAAGTCGTCTTAGAGGATCCCCGTTCCGGTAATTGTGGCAAGTGTTGTGCGCCTCTTGTGGCTGCTGTAGCAGCTACTGCTTTTCAGCTTTCCAGCTATTCACTTTACCCTAGCAAAGTTTGCAACTGCAACTGAAAAAACCGCAGCTAACAACAGCTCTACACAGAAGCCAAAACGTGTCGTCCTTTTGAGCCACTTGAAGTGCTGCCCCTCAGCTCAAGAGCCTGTCTTGTTGTGCTGTGTTTTTTTACGTTTGCTACTGCTGCTGTTGTCATCATCTTGGTACGTGTTGCAACTGCAACGGCAACAACAACCGCAACAGTGCTGTGGCAACAGCTTCGTTTTTAATTAAACAATGTAAGCAGGAGGCCGGGTCTGAAATCGGTGCGAAGTGCAGTGTTTGCTGCCGAACAAGCAAAGCCAAGTTCAAGTTGGCTGTGTCTGTGTGAGTTATGAGTTGCGCAATCACGACTTCTTGTCTCCCCAAAAAACGCAGTCTTCCTCTTTTCGCGAGGTCTGATTAAGTTTTAGAACAAATGAATTAAAAAACGTGCGCTTCTTACTTTTTGTTTCGGCCCGGTCTGCCACCGATCGTGTTCGGAGGTGCGAAGTAATTTGGTCAACTGGGCTTTACCTGATCGAACAGCAGCTGCTCATGATCTTGTTGTACTTTTTTGGTTTTATGACTATCGGAATTCCAGGCAGCTGCTTGCTAAGTTCTTCAAAACTTCTTTATTTCACTTACCTGAAAAAAAAACGAAAAAAAGGTCTAGAAAGAGAGAGACGGTTTAAGCTCCAACGATCTCGGTGTAAAGATAAAATATTGTAATTCATTTAAATGAACAAATCAAAGAGCCTGAGCGAAGTCCACTTGGGAGCCAGACAAAGTCGAAAAGCCACAGACTCCACGGAAGATTGTTGTGATGTGATTACGTCAAAATTATTAAAACAGTCTTGAGTCTCCAGACTGCACAGTCCCTCCCCATGTATGCATACTCCACATGCCGTATCCGTATGTCATGTTTCACAATCACAATTCGTCTGCTGCCTTGATCGACACTGATCTCAGATAAGACAGTCAAATAATAAACCAAAAAATATTATAGCCGAAAAACCGAACCAAGACAAGTGCATTTGCATCCAGCGATCCCAACTGGCTCACAACCTGCGTGTGAAGCAACATTTTCCCAAAAAGCCAAAGCGAAAAACAAAGAGTCGCTGAGAATTTATGAATATGAGCTCGGACACTGCTAAGCAACTTGTTGAAAAATATGAACAAACGAAAATATTTTCACCAAGCCGACCAAAACATAAATGTGCATTATATAGACATTAAGTTGCCTTGCCGACCAAGATTGTCAGTATTGTCTGTTTCCCAGTTTTATGCTTTGACAGGCCATAGACAGACCAAAGGCTGACAACAATGCCATTAGTCCCTGACAAAGGCAACGCAACGACAATTGACAACAACGGGGGTATCCAAAAGTTATCAATGGGAATCGTAGGGAAACTGCTCAAGATTGGTCAAGGAATGGTGTGAACCTTCTAACCAACACTCACAGAAATTATGTCTTCATATCTTATGTATCTATCTATTGTAAAGGTTCTTTTAATAATATATACTTGTATTTTCTTTTCACTGCACTTCCAACTCAACGCTTTCAACGAAGATTCCTCTAATCGCTTGCTAAGCTGGCAGACAAAAATACATAGCTTTGATTATTAGATCGCTGGGTCTCGTCACTGAATCCATTCTCAGAGTGTTCTTTTTCAACAAGCAGAGTGGCTGAGTTGTTAGCATTTCCTAGAAGCCAGAGAATCCACAGCAACCGGAATACCGACTGGTGACCACGTTTTGTCCATCGCATCCGGCCCGAACTCTGGACGGGAGCTGGGCGAGGAGGCATAGAGCTGGGAACACGTCTGGGGCCGTGTAATATGCAAACTAGTGAGACGCTCTGCGATAACTGTACAGATAGGGATTTTCCGCAAACACACACAAGCCAGCTTACAAATTGCAGGCAGTGCTACGAGGGGCTGCGATTTATGAGGACCGACAAATCAGGCACGATCCTCCCGATCTCAGGTAGTGTGGCCCAACCTGCAAAAGTTGAAATATTTTAAGCGTCAGCAGCTGTGCGGCAAAGGATTAGCGGTTGCCCAACTTTCGGATAAGGATAAGGTAATCCACCCACTAACTACCTGCCTCACTCCCTAATCAGCTACCTAAATTTGCATAAAACCTAGGAATCGCAACACCAGCGGCACATTCAAACAACAGCAGCCTTCAAGGAAGCATCATCATATCATCAACACCAAAAGTACATTCGAAAGAAAACATTTTTTGAAAAAAGATATATTTTCCAACAAGGACAGAGAAAAATCAATTAAATTGGCATTATGTCGACAATGCACAATACTGCCTTCTACAAAAACGCCTTTGATGCCCTGGATATCACATTGCAACCGATGGAGAAACGGGAGCCAAACTATATTGACAACCTGCACATCATATTTTTCGAGCAAATCTTTGAGGCTATCGACAACTTGACCGACCAGGTCCGGATGGCACGAGCCTACCCCCAATTTATACCCAGTGTCGTCAGGATCTGGGAGAAGAACCTGAACTGCATCGTGGGACCAAACACCGCATTTCTGAGTATCCTCGACATCGAGGATTACGTATTCTTCATGGAGCACATGACCGAAATCTTCACCGAGATGCACGTTAGTGAGGATGGCGTCGGTGCATTCCCCGAATTCTTCGATTACATCACACACTTGTGCGACATCAACATCACCCGGTTGCCAAATGTGGAGACCTGCATTATGGCCGGAAACCCAAACACTGTGGTTGATAGTGACATCAGGGATTTGACTCTTATGCTGCCGAACCTGAAGTGTCTCATGACCTGCATGAATCTCTCCGGAGCATACATACGGGGATTCAGGAATCTAGAGGAACTCATTTTCAACTCCCTGTACCACTCAGTGCCCCTGGAAAGCCGCTTCATGCAGGAGATCTGCCTCAACATGACAACATTAAAGGTTCTCGACATCACCGATCAATTCGACAGCCAAGTGCGCCTCACCGACATCGAGCTGCCCAACCTGGAAGTCCTGAAAATAAATCTCAGCAGTGTGGAGTGCATCGTATCACAGGTTCTGCAATTGCCAAAACTTAAGAAGCTGGCAGTGCGCTTCGATGACTCCCGCCAGCTGAACGCAGACCAGGAAACCATCTTCCAGGAAATCGTGGTGGCCAAAAGCGAGAAGATCACCAGGATCGCCCTGAACAACGAGGTGGTGCAGTTGCCCGTTCGCTGGCAGCATAGCCTGCTCTTGGAGTTGCCTAAGCTTAGGAAGCTCGTTTGCGAGAACTGGTACCACGACGAGTTCTTCCTGGACAGCCGTCACATGCCCTGCCACCAGATGGAGGTGCTCAGCTTCACCGGCTGGGAAGTCGTCCGCGAAAACCAGCTCCTCGATATGGTCGCCCAGTGCCCCCAACTGAGGCACTTGGGTCTGAACGGCTACCACTGCAGCTGGGACAAGCTCACCAAGCTCCTGAACATCCGCAACCAGGAGAAGAATTCTCCACCACTGGAGGTATTCAGCGAACTCCTGTGGGCAAACTTCACACCCGCCGAGTACCACCACTGGTTAGCCAACAAATACGTCCAAGTCACCTGTGATCACTCGGAATACGAATACCAGGAGGAGGGCTTCGAGTTCGACTTTGAGTAAACACTTTGGTCCGTCACGGCAGATTGTACATATATACACCATTTAATATTAATAATTATTATTGAAACAAATTCTAATTTTCTTCACTATATTTTAATGTTTGTAAATATATTAAAAGAAAATATTAAAATAAATTCAACGCACTTGCAAAATTTACGCAACGCACATTTTCATTCTCAAAACACTCCCCGATTTCAGGCAATTTTCCACAAGTCCTCCACTCCACCGAAAACGTTTATTTATTCGCATTTCAGCGCTTTAGGGTCCGGCAAATGGAAAAATCAACACAGTTTATGGCCAGCCAAGAGATTTAACTGTGCTCTGGGCCCCGAGCCTCCTGCTCCCTGGACTCTCCTCACACATGGCCTGACCTCCACTCACGTGGCCAGTTAATTTCGCAAGGCATAAATTATTTGATTTGATTGAGTCGGAAAATGAGTTCGCAAAGTGCCCAAAGCTCTTTGTCGACTGTTTGCCGGCAACTTCCTCAGCCACCTCGGTTCCCAACAGTTTTTATTTTCAAATGGCCAACAGAGGTAAAGGTTAGTTAAGATTTGACTATGTTTTAAGGTAAGTCAGGGAGGCTAAGCTCAAGTACTATAATCTAGTAACTACATCTAATATATATTTACAACCTTACATTTAAATTTTAAAGAAACTGATCGTATAAGAAAGGGAAATTTAATATCCTTAACTTAAGACAGATATTAATTGATCCATCCCTCGATTTTCGGACACATGCGTACATGCATGCGAAGGAAATTAAGCAATTTTCAAAAATGTGCAGTCACAAAATGATTTACATAACTTTTCTCTCCAAGCCGAAAAATATGGCATAGAAAAACAGTATTTTGGCTTTCGTTTTCCAGCATTACGTGAGCCGAACACCGTCCGCTGATCTAAGTTATTGGCCGCACTGGCCAGTCAACACAGAGTCGACTCTGGACTAATTTGTGGCCCCCATCGCCCAATCGAAAGATTAAAATGCAAACGAAGGCAGTCAGTTGGCTTTGGGCGACTGGGCGACGACAGTTTGAAGTGGACAAAAATTTAGAAATAATGGACTATTAATTTATGGCCACAGAGGTAGGGAGCAGAGATCGACCGGTCGGATCGATGTAGTTGCCATTTTCGAAAGGTATCCGCTGGACAAGCACAAACCTTTTTGGGGGCTATCGACATTATATTTTAGCCGCATATTTATGGGTTTTTCATTAATTGACTAATTGCAGGGGCAGGAGCCACACAACACGGGGGCCTCTCTGACAAATGCACCACTTAAGGGCCAAAACTAATGCGACCCAATTAAAGGCGGTCCCCACAGTCTCACTTTGCCACACAAAGCCAACTCTAGCGCTTTGCCTAATTTCTCTATCAATTTTATTTAACATGACACTGCCGGGCACACAATTCGTCATGGTACGTTACGAACCTGCAGCAATCTGTGGCAAGTGCATCGAATTAGTAGGTGAAATTGGAACACGGCTGGGAGGATTTCCCGAGCTGGAGACGGAGCATTCGTTCGACGCCATAACTATATGGATTTGCAGAGTGAGCCGAATGGGGCGTTGTTAATGAAATCGAATCGAATCAAATTAAACGAAATGAAGCCGACTCGCATCAAATGATTTTACCATAATTAAATTAAACATAAAAGATCCAAGAAAAACGCTGTTAGCTCTTAAGTGGTGTACTGTGTCGGATAAGTTGGATCGCGTTGACCATAAATACGGCGATAAGACGATGCGGCTTGTGTTTGATATTGAATGTTCGGGGTTTGTGAAATGCAGTGGCTAGAGCTTGTAATATTCGGTGATTAGGGCGTAGTATTTTTAAGAATTTTTAATATATTGTCCCATAGTTTGGTTTATTTTGAAGGGTACTGTGCCGAAGGCATCAAAATAAGAGAGTTTTTTTATTTATTTTATTTTTTCAGATTATTTATCACTTCCTGCCATTGATTGGCCAATCGATTGGTATTCTTCCGCGAAGGCTTTGCCCCAGACTGGCTTTCCAGGTGGTCTGCCAAGTTGATTTGCATTACCATCGAGCCGGAGAAAAAAACGAAAATAACACAAAACATTAACACGAGTGTCAACAAATCTTAACGAGCTAACAAAATGTTGGATCCGGTGCTGTTTTTCCCCTCGATACAACACACGGCGCATAACTAGCTAAACGTTGACAAATCGTTCGGTAACTCAATACTTTTGTAATGCAAAAAGAGAAAAGTAAAACCCTATTTTTGGTCTACGCACAATACAAAGACCTCGCATACAGGCGAACCACAACGCCAACGAACTACAAGATAAATGCTTACAATTTTATTGCCAAACCAAAAACTTGACGTCTTGTCGTCGCCGGCGTCGTTGGTTTGTTGAATGCCTGGTTAAAGTTTCTTTGCCGCCTGCCATTTGTTTTCGGCCAAAAGAGCAAATGAAAAATATAAGAAAAACAAAAATTGCATCTCCGAGTTGAGGTGGAATTGACATCTCATTGATTAATGCCAGGCGGGCCGGACCTAGACGGTCATTGCGGCAATTTCTGCGGCTCGATTAATTTGTCACTTGGCAAAAACTTAATTACCCCGAAGATTGTCATAGCTGGCTCAGTTGGAGGCCACTTTGATGGCTTGAGTCTTTCGAAAATCGCGTGACATATCATAAATTCCAAATGATTTAATAATGTGAGCGAGTCAAACTCAAGCCGCCTCTGAAGTGGCAGCCAAACATGCACAGAAAAAATCATTCAAAAAAGAACTGATTCAGTTAATACACTACATATATAATTAATGAATCTACAATCCTTGACAAGCAATCGTTTAATGAAACAAGCATCCTTCAGCAAGAGATATAACTATTTTTTTAAGTGCAGACCGAAGAGCGGCTCAATCGACAAATGATCGCCTGTTTTATGATGTGCTATCAATGGCCTATCAATGGCGGCGATTTTTGTTCTATCCGCTCATTTGTAGAGCCATCAAAATGCTAATTGAAATCGCTTTTCCTTACCGCTTTTTCCTAAGTTGTCGCCGCCTTTCATCTGCTGCCGTCGATGCACCAGAAAATCAAACACGCTGCTGATAATGCTCCAACTCGAGGTAATTTAGTAGCCGCGGCGGCATCGCTTCAAAGCTATCGCCAACTGTAAACTGTCAAATTTAATAACTGCATCTAACAATGCTTAAGAGAAGAGGCAAAGTGCCCAAATTGAATTTCTTTTGGGCCACATAACGATCCGATGCACTCACAGGCAGCTCAGATTTGCATTTAAATCGCTTGGCTACCGCCGATGGTTTTTGTGACAAAAAGTTAGTGTGCCGGGCTTTCCCGGTTTCACTCAATTAATTAAAAGCGATCGATCGGGTTATTAAAAACAAATTTCCAGCATTAAACGTGCTTATCATGAGACGTCGCTAATGAAGACATCAACGGAGGCGCTGCGAAACAAAAGACTTAGGTGACGAACTTGACGAACCCCATTTGGGGTTTAACGCACACCAGTGTAGTGGACAGAAAAAGAAGCCACATAAATTGAGTTTAGTTTCTAAGAAGAGGACAAAATAAGATTAAGTTTGCAATAAAAAAGTATCTCATATGAGCGCTGCCAGATAACCCAAATCAACACACTTTCACGCCGAAATGAAGCATCGCCAGGTTCGTTAGCAAAAATACTAGTAGACTTTTCTATCCGTTCAATACCAACAAAGTTCTTCGTCTCCGCAGAATGGGGCACCAAATGCAAAGAGTGCAACATTTAATAGCTTGAGGGCACGTGCATGCAATTTTCATTCATACATTATTCATTCATAATGCACTTGGGCTTTTCGCGAGGCATTGGGAATCTGTGGAAGGGGAAGAAGACGAGGGTAGAGCCAACTGAGGGACAACCATTCACATATGGACGTCTGTCTGGGCCGCTATTTACCATTTAACTTTTGCCTGTCTCCGAAACAGACAAAAAATAATTGCCAATTTCAAGTCAATTGCCTATTTACCCTGGTTATGGCTAATAGAGAAATCGTAGGGGCAATCATCCATGCAAAGACAAGAGTTATTCGCAGATGCTAGAGAATCCATTTGCATTTGCAGAGCCAACAATTGAGGTAATGGTGAAATTTTCGTAATTGGAACCAAACTGGCAATTACTTTTACACCACAGACCAACATACCAGGCTCTACTTGTTGACAAGCGCTTTTTGAGGTGGTAACTCAATTTATTTATTTAAATTACTATTTTTTAGGGTTTTTTGTTTTTTTTCTTAGTTTGGCACAGGAAGTGAACTGAGCCAGCTGACGCCAGTCTGAAGACAGAGGTCCGTGTTGGTTATGATTTATGTGACATAGTTCCCTTGCGATGCAAACGTGATTTCGAGGGCGTTGCACTAATTGAAATTGCAAATGTTGGCTGCTCCGGAAAATTGATAGAAGTTTTATGCGGCTCTTCGGTGTGAAACTTGTGTCCCTGCCAGTCTTGAGATTTATGAAGTCAAAGGTATGGCTACGTCACTTTTATTAATTGAAGAATTATAAGCTGTAAATCCACGATGCAACGGTTATGATTATTATGAAAGATATTCGTTGATCGAAAAGATATATAGCAAGGCGGTAACCTTAGACCCTCGACCTGTGTGGCATCTTCAATAAAACAATATAAATTGGGAACAAACCCAATAAATTTGACCAAGAAAGGAAAGAAAAATATTTCTTATAAATTTTCAACTAATGAAATTTGCATAAAATGAATGGAACGCGTTATCGTAAATCACCACGGCTGGCGGGCAAATCAGTTCGAATAAAAGTGTCACCTTATATATCTACTTATTAGATGTATAAAAGTATCTAGGCCCAAGATGTTGACGATATTGATGATGATGAAAACGAATGCCGCAGTGCCACACACAGACCACAAGCCAATTGAAATGTTTTTCGAAAATTTACGACCAGAAAAGGAAATTTTTCTTGGCTATTAAATTATCAAGTCGAATCAGCGGACCACCAGCATGTTTTTGTAAGTGGATAGTCTAGGTCGGATAGTGTCTATTTACCAAATGGAGTCCAATAGAAAAGCAACATATTTTAGACTTGAATTTTAAGTTAAAAAGACTCAATTCCAGATCAGAAATATTTTATGATCCCTTTTATTCTGATAAGTAATTTTATTGAGCTTATTGAAAATATTTTTGTGTGGCATTTTAGTTTTAACAAGAAAGGAAAGCTAACTTCGGGCGGAGCCGAAGTTTATATACCCTTGCAGTTAAAACCGGATATATATCGCAAACATCGGATATAGTTGGCCGATCCTTATGGGAATAGGAATATATAATCGAATTTATTACAATACAAAATCTAAAAAAAGTCCCAAACTTCCATCTTCAAAAATACGAAAGTTGATATTTCTACCAAAAACCATTTCCGATCGTTCAGTTATATGGCAGCTATGGGATATAGTCGGCCGATCCTAATGAAATTTGATAGGTTGGATCAACTGACCAAAAATAGAATCTGTATTAAATTCCAGCTTTCTTTCTTCAAAAACACGAAAGTTGGGTCATTTCCGATCGTTCAGTTATATGGCAGCTATAGGATATAGTCAGCCGATCCTTATGAAATTTGGCATGACGTAATGTTTTGCCAAAAGTAGCTCTCTTGTCAAATTTGAACTCTCTAACTCTAAAAACACCAAAGTTATACCATTTCCGATCAATCAGTTATATGGCAGCTATAGGATATAGTCGGCCGATCCGGGCCGTTCCGACTTATATACTGCGTGCAAAGAAAAGAAGGGTGTGTGCAAAGTTTCAAGACGATAGCTTTAAAACTGAGAGACTAGTTCGCGTAGAAACAGACAGACGGACAGACAGACGGACAGACGGACAGACGGACATGCTCATATCAACTTAGGAGGTGATCCTGATCAAGAATATATATACTTTATAGGGTCGGAGATGTCTCCTTCACTGCGTTGCACACTTTTGACCAAAATTATAATACCCTCTGCAAGGGTATAAAAATAAAAATGCCCATTGAGAGAACTTTTCAGCAATTTCTTTAATTAAAACTTACACATTTTATTAACAAAGGCCAGGCCATAGTCACCTAAAAATAGCAAAAAGACCACGTCAAGGAGTTGTCCAGAGTAACCATCCAACAAACAGCAACAACAATTCAGGCAATGCTAATGAATGGAACGCGTTTTGTAAATTGTCTGCCAAACGATGGAATGAATGAATAAGTGACTAAATGAGTGACTGACAGGCAAATGGCAGAGGAGTTGGCTTTAATGAGCAACCCCTTTCAGCCATTCAAGCAGCAACAGAAGCAGCAGACGATGTCGTCGCCTTTTGGCCAAAAGATTCGAGAATATTTTCGGACAGCGGGTACAGGAGGACTCGAGAGTCTCATTAATTCATTAAATGGTGTTAAAAAACGGAAGCCAGCGTCACTTGGTGTAAAAATAACTTAACATGGTCAATCAGGCGCAAATTAAGTTCCCAAAGTGATGATGTGGTCAAAAGTCAAGCGGCTTAGGGGTATTTAAATTGTATGTATAGTCTCAAAAAAATATATAAAGTGCTTTAACATCTTTTAAATTTCATACAAAGTTTATTAAACACAGAGGATTTATTATTGTCTGGCTTAGAGGGTTTTGACTTTGAAAAGTGTTCTCAGCTTGCCTAAATAGTAGCATCCTGAACAGTACTAGATTGATGTATTTCTGGTTCATATCAGGGCTATCAAGTTCTTGAGGTAGAGCTATCAGGTTATCATGAACATTAAGTTTTATTAAAAATGTTTAATATTTCTAAATTATTAATGTGTTTTCAAAGCCAATTGGTAAAATAAATTTTAATTAAGCTTCTAGCCATTTAGTGCTGCATATTTCATGATAAGCTTCTTAGGACAATAAGCTCAGCAAAAATCCAGGTCACCATAGTTCTACCATTTGTAGTACCAATTCTCCATTGTTTTGAGCTGACAGAGCGTTTGCTGTATAAGGTGTGAGCTAATATTGCTGGTTTCTGTAACTCTGTTCCCTGTCTCACACTCTGAATGAGCAATTACAGTTAATAAGACTGCAAATGTCAAAGCTGCGTGTGGGCGCAACGGCTAAGTATAATTAATTTGACTCGAGGCTTACGTTTCGTTCAGTGTACCGGGCACTTGAACTAATTGACAAGTTTCCATATTTAAACATTTTGTGAATGAAGTTGCGTTGCGATGAAGGAGGAGGCGGGGTATGGGAGGGAGGGAAATATGAAAATTATTAGAAACTGATTGGTGTGTGTGAGTGTGAGTGGAGCTTAGTGGGCGTTGTTAGCTGTGGCTCTGTCTCGCTCTGTTTGCTGCTCGGTCCTTGTCCGACCAACGACAGCAAATTTTCATTCACAATCTAATGCCGAGCTTGATCCACACCCACATCATTTAAAGTGGAGCAGCAATAAGGGGACTGTCCCTGTCTTGCTCCCTCTGTCTTTCTGCCCAGCTCTGCTCTGCCTTTCTCTACCTGCATGCTCCACTACCACCCACCCTTCCCACCGACTCTTCTCTCTCGCTTTATCCGCGGCCCAGCTGCAATATTTTGCAATTCAATTTGCAGTCAGCTGAGAGAGCGCGAGATAGAAGCCAATTTATCAATGAAGCCACCCACGGCACCCAGTACCTTTGTGTTTTGTATCTATGTGCGGTCTGTGTCGGTGTGTTGGGCTGTGTGGGTGCCGATTAAAAAAGCTCCGTTGTGGAAGAGCCTCCAAGCTTTTGGAGGGCATCCAGCTTTCGTTGGTGTTATTTTTAGCTGCAAAGCTCCCGGCTGCTCGCCAAAAAGCTTGCAGGATTGATTGATGAACTTTAATTGTTTTTGATTTCCGTGGAAAACCCTGGAAGGTCGCTGCAATTGAACACAACTGGGCTTAGCTGCTGTGCAAGTGCACCAAATGACGCAAATGCAAAGAAATCCTGCACCTAAGGGTTAAAAATAGCCAGAGGCCAAGGGGGGTTCGGAATCAGCTTCGGGGGTTGAGATCAACAGTACTCAGCGAGTGTGTAGGTTTGGGGACTCGCTCTAACCATGAAGTGAAACCCACATAGTAACTCTAGGGTACACTTAAATAAATAATTTATTATAAGGATTTATTATATATAATTCTCATTTAAAATAAACTCAATATATCCGATATTTAAACTGTTTTTTTGAAAGTTAAATATTAGATGTTGGCTTAATCCTTATTATAAACGGTTTTTGCACAATAAAGGATCTAATATTCAATGAAAGAGGGCGTTTAAAGAGTGCAAAGGACGTCCTTAGGAGGATTTGGAAGATCACTGTTCACGTAGGTGATGAACAGCTTGCTTTAGTATGCCTACTATATATAGTTTACAAATTTAAAAATGTTCTCTGAATTCTATTTAATTTCTGATCCATTTAAATTAGGAAAACGACTTATTTGAATGAAATATAATTCTAAATGAGTTTCTAATTCTAATATATAATACAAAAAGTTTTAAAAACTGTTTTTCTCTGTGAAAAAAATGGATAAAAAGTAAAAAGTAATCCAAAGGTGTTACTGCGATAGAAGCTCAACCAGAGAGAAAAGCACTTTAAGGTGATGATGCGGGGGTTGTGTGTGTGGTTTGTTGTATGTGGTGTATGGTGTGTGGTGTTAGGTACCCCACCAGCAATCCTCAAATCGTGCGTGTGACAAGGACGGCTGGCTGAGCTCGACAGTGTGTACAGTTGTGCCCACACACGGCAACAACAACCAACACCAAGCCGAGGCATCTCAACTGGGCGACAGATCTCTAAGTAAGGCGATGATCGGCCCACGATTTTAGCTCAAACTCAAACACATGCTGAAATTACACAGATACAGATACGGATACAGTGAAACCGAGCCAGCACAGCCAAGGCAGTGCTGCAAACCAAAGCACCAAACTGTTTTTTATACCGCCGACAGCCGGACGACGAGTCGAATCGCAAAAAAAGCGCAACCGGAAGGAAATTATCGTCTAAAAAGTTCGGTAGCTGCTTACACTGATGTATAGCCCGATTTACGCGCCCTGTGCATGAGATCGTTAAGCGAATAAGCCCAATATCTTGGCCAGCCCATCAAATTGCGTGTTTCAAATCAAAATTGCATAATCTGCAATCCTGGAACGAGTTTCCGAGTTTCGGAGTTGCCAAGATCGCGATTAGAGCCAACGGGTATCTTTCGCGTAATCGCAGTAGCTCCTCGGTCGCTTCCTTTGACTTGGCCACGTTCTATGGCCAGGTCTTATCACTCCCCGGCCATCTATAGCTGCAGTTGCACTCGCAGCAGTTGCAGTTGCGGTTGCAGCAGCTAGTCGCGCGTGCGTTCGCCTTTTGGCCCGCCTCGTAATTAATTACAAACGCAGTCGCAGCAGATCGCGCGCTTCTCTTTTTGCCGGCATCTCCTGAGGAAAACTCCACCGCTCCACTGCCCTGCCCATTTACGCGCCAAATCTTGATTCCTTGGGTTATAGACCAACAACTATTCCGACGAGCTTGCGTGCTCCGTTGTCGCCGGCTCTTTTCTCCTCCAAATCGACGACATCTGATTGCCTTTTTATGGCTGGTAAGTAGCTTGGCTCGGAGTATATGGCCCAGGCTTAGTCTTCGACATCTAAACAAGTATATTAATGGTTTAGCTGAGCAGGGGATTTTTCAGTTTTGCAGTTGCAGGGGTGGAGGGGCGAAAGGAGATGGCGATTATGGCGTCTAATGGCACTTAATTGGGCATAAAATTGAGCTTTTCCAAATTGATGGTGGGGAAATTCGACCATATCAAAGGATTCAGGCGCTTTTAAACTTTGTTATTATTTTATTTACTTATGCATATGTTATAGTCAGCCATACTCATTACTGCTAATATATCCTATGAACCATATTCATAAAGTAATACAATTATATTCGGAATTGTAATCCACGGTTTTTTAGTTAAATTACGAGGCTTTGTTAATAGTATTGGAGTTATTTGGGTAAAATATTTTCTATAGCTCTTATGACAACTTGAAATCAAAGTTTTCAATTTAAAATGCAAGATACTTAACGTTTACCACTGCAAATAAAAATTTATAAGTGAAAAACTCAAAACGCTGAAAGCCCACACACAGAAGGCGTATTCCAGGAGCTTGTCGTGTGCATTCAACAAATCAATTAGCGTGGCAGCATTCAAAGGTTAAATGTCGCACACACACGTCTTTATGCGAATAAATGTATTCTCATATTACTTTCTACTCCTGTTGCGAAAGGTCAACAGGCAATCGGCACTGCCGCAAATTGCCAACCTGCAACAAGTTGAAGCTGTTTGGCTAATTAATGTGTGTGAAAGGAGCTGGTGGCTCAACGCTTTCGGCTAAAGCTTTGAGCACAGTTGTGGGGTCGAAACGGAGTCGCAGCTGACATTTAGCTCTGCCAGCAGAGGAAACCTGGATTCCTGAACGGAAGCTGGACCCCAGCCCGGGAGCCCTTAAATGCCAAAGTTCAATTGGACAACAGCACCTATTTGCTTCGTCGGACTCTTTCATGAATGACATTACAATTCAGCAGTATAAATAATGTCCTTTGTGACGTCACGGGAGCTTTTTCATTGATAAGCTCTATACATTTTTCACTCATTCATATAATTTTCGAATATGGCCGAGTACTTTTCGGCAGCATTTGCCGCCATTTTCCGGCTCCTGTTGCTGGCAGCTACTGCCACAGAGACAGAGTGAGGAAGGCATTAGGGAGCAACAGGAGCCACGGCGACAGCCCACACACGTGCCGCAAGTCACAGGGAAAAGGGCAAAGTACCAGCATCCTGTATCTATGCTTCCATAGCTCCTGTCAAGTGGAAAGTTCGAGCAGCGACTAGATACCCGCATAGTAGATCGGGTTCAAAATACCAAATACGATTTGATTTGTTTTTTTTTCAAGGATTTTATTTAAAGAAATGATTACATGGAATCAATTTATTTAAAAAAAAAATATATATATATTTAATGCTTTAAAAGTTTGGCTTATTTATTAATCACTCAGAATCGTTATACCAGTACGCTGGGCTATCATTCGAACCAGCTCAGTGCCCACCCTCCACAATTCCTTCGCTGTCTCCCAGTCGATGGTATCTGACAATGTGGGCGTTTAATCGCATCTATTAGCATCCCAGCCGAGAATTTTGTTACACGCCCCCGCCAGAAAATTGCTTCCACTAGAAAACCGAAGCACAAGTGGAAAACATTTCACAGATCCGGGCAGGCAATCAACAGGTCCAGCTCGGGTAATCTAAATGGACGGAGCACACGCCCTCCTCCTCTGATCAGGAGAAATATTTCTGAGCCAGTTTTCCACCTGCCAGTCGCTGTCCTTTCATTATTATTATTATTATTGCTCTTTTGTTTTCGCCGGAATGGGAAACAAAGAAGTGGGAGAACATTCGTAACATTTGGCTTTCACTTTGCTGCCTTTTGATTGATGCTCGCAACCTTTAACCTTTAAATGTCATCGTTGGGATGAAGCCAAAGCTTCCTGCGTGCAACTCTAATTGCCATTTTCTGGAGCTGCCGCCTTGGAGCTAGTGTGGGTGTGTTTTAGCATTTTGCTTGCTGCCGCTTTAGTTAGCTTCCTAAACATTGGATGTTTTTTTCGTCCTTTGAGTGTTTGTATTTCTCGGAATTTACAAACTTTTAAGCAAATGTCAGTTGTTAAATGAAAGGCATCGGATGAAAGATTCCACTTCGAGAAGATTCGATAGAAATGAACTCATAAATCAACACCTGCCAACCAAAAAGGTCAATAAAGAAAGATTTTGAATTTTTAGAGAGGGAAATTAGTAGATTTTCAAAGAAATTTTATTTGTTCTCCACTATTGAATATATTTGGTAATATTTAAGTTAAAATAATTATATAGTTGTTATAATTTTATTAAAATTCCAGAAGTTAAGGATAAAAAGGTATAACTTCTGTACCACTAGGCGTATGAGTAATTTAATGAAATTTATTACTCATACGCCCCGTAGTGACGCCAATCGAAAGTGAAAGCGAACATTTTGGCAGCTTATCGTGACTGATAACCGAGACATTCCTGTGCAATAATCCACAACTATTGCGTAGATTTTGGCAAGTTCGGTGACAATTTTCCAGCTCTATCCTTCGCTCTTTGCCGCTCATCGGCTCTCACACTCTCTCCCTCTCGAGTGCCACCCACAATTGTTGACTTTTCACCGCGCCGCTGGGAATCGGAAATGCGGGCTTCCACTCTCGCTCGGGGACACCCACACGGCCAGAGAAAAATCGAACCAGTGAGAGAGATTGTGAGAGATGGAGAAATGTGTGTGGGCAAGGACAGCCGAGAGACAGATGCTTCAGTACAAATAAGAATCAAAGCTACACGCAGACAGAGGCAGGCTGTTCGGTTCGGATGGCAATATATTGCCGCTTATGACGACGGCCAAAGCTAAAAGGCCAAAACCAAAAACAATTTCTGGCATTTCCCGACGCTTCCGACGCCAAACGCCGACGCAAACGGTAACAGCGCAGCCGATTTGCCGCTGTTTTCATGATGTTTTCACCGATGGCCCGAATTTTCCCATTTTCAATTTCAATTTTCACCGCTCGCGCCAGTAGCTTTTCGACGGCTCACCGGCTCGTCTCGTAATTTTTGCCAACTATCAACAAATCGCGGGCAAAAAACTTTTAAACGCGCGCGCGTTTCAATTGTGCCAAGACGTTTGTCTCTAATCTTCAAAAAACAATAAAATCAAATATTGCTGCTAGCTTAAAAAGTGTATTAATCAAAAGACATTTGTAGCAAAAAATAATAATATTTTAAAAATTTATAAAACAATCAGTTTGCCGTCGGTAATCTGTGCATATATTAATCGTATTTTTGATCAGGATTTTTAGATCCATTTAGGCTAGAATTTTGAAAGTCAATTTGAGAACATCTTACAGTTTTAAGTGTCTTTATGTGATTTTAATGTCTGAATGTTTATCTACTGTAGTGTTTTTACTGTTGAACGTTTTTATAAATATTTTTGGTGTTTAAGTGTAATCAGAATAAGGTGAAAAAATTATAACAAACAAATTATTTTAAGAGGTAAAGATTTAGTTCCTGAATCACCAATACTTGATTAACTTCAAAGATGCTTTATCAAATCAAATACTAATGTATATTATATAATTTTTTTCAGATTCTTCCAAATCTTCAATCAAAAAATTTATAATCAACGAAATTCATAAAGACTGATGTGAATTTAGATAAAAAGAAAAACCTGACAAAACCAATCAGTGAAACCCAATCAAGCTAACCGCAAGTGAACAAAGTACAAAAATATTAAAATGTGTCAACTATTTAAAAGTTAACCGAAAAGTGATCGCTAAACAAACCAATGGAGTCTCAGCTTATTAGTTTGTGTTTCAGTTTTTTGTTTTTCGTCAATTTTATTTTGTTTTCCCACCGGCCAAAGTGCATCGCGTTTAACCACAAAAATGTTGCTGACAATGCGGCGTCAAAATGAACTGATCGTAGGCAGCCAACAGCATCCATCAGTAGCAGCAGCAGCATCCATAGAGTCGGGATCCAGTGCCACGCCTCCCCCACCAGGACAGAGCCTCAGCTTGGTGCCACCATCAGTGGCCACATCCTCGACCACAGCATCTCAGCAGGATTCTCTGAACACGCCAACGACCCCTTTATTGGGTCTCAGTCGTAATCCGCTCCAGTTTGCACCACCGCCTGCTCCACCGATTGCCGTACCAGCTGCCCCGGCTTCAGGACCTGCTTTTGGTTATTACCAGAGTCAGAACAGTGCGCTACCCATTCATCCAATCCCTTCTGCAACTACTGAAGCTGCAGGAGCACAACCCCCACCCACACCCGTGGAGTTGGACGAGTACGTTGACATATTGCAAGTGCAACAATTGCTCCTGGACTCTTCGGCAGCCGCTGCAGCAGCAGCTGGTAGCCACCCACAAGCTGCCGAGCAGCAGCAGCAACACGAACCGTCCTCAGCTCAACAACAGTCACAAGCACCATTGCAGCAAGCTCCACAACAACAACTTGTTGCCAAACCGCGACCGCGAATAAATCTGCAGAAGGCCTCGGAGTACGCCGCTCAACTAGCTCAGGGTAAGCAAACAAATAAAACCGCCTTAGAATCATAAAACATCAGCCATTATCCGCAATCATTATCCTCTTAGCCGAGTCCTCATCGCCTGGCTCGCGTCGTGTCCTGCTTGATTACCCGAATCCCTATTTGTACGGCAATCATTATCACCACCATACGCCGCCAAGTGAGGACCTAGTGGCCCTTTGGTTCGGCAGCAATGGCTCAGGTGAGTCATCGCCTTAGTTTGTCATACAAATTTAATTAATAATTGATCCCGTTGAGTCAGCAGTTTTGTTGAAGGGCATTTAATATTTATTTTGATATAAAAAACAAATATTTATATAGATGAAAACCCATTAATCGACCAATTCATAGCCCCATTAAAAATTCAATATATTTATTGATCAGACAGCTTACATGATACTCATTTAAAAGAGAAATTCCTTACTTGTTGATGTCAATCAACAGTTAAAGCTATTGCCTTTGGCTCAAATAATTTTAATGGTTTACAATTTAGTGCAATTAATAAATAACTCACACCGATCAGCTCATTTTCCCAGGGTATCGTGACATTTTTGTTAGCCTGTCGCCAAAATGTGAGTCAACTTAATTTTTGTTCATTTTGGCGATCGGGCGTCTTTAGGCTTGCATAACTCAAGTCTCGGCCGTCTCCGCACTCCATGTTGCAAATATGTCCATGATGCAGTTACTCAAAAACTATCTCGCCGGCTATAAATTGCCAAAATTAATCTGTGAATGAGCTGACAGCTGTACCCCCCTCCCTGGACCGAACGTGCTGGGCCCCTCTCTAATGGCTCAATAAATAAAATAGAAATAAAATGAGATTTTCGCACACTTTAATGCCGCTTGCTGGTGGATTTTCGCTGGCGCCTTGGCGCCCGCCGTCTACTTGAGTTGCGTTGAATTAAGTTGAGTTGGCCGGCCTGGTCCCGGCAGCCAGTCGCTCTTTTGAAACGCTGCCAAAAGCCTGAAATTGAAATTTCAGCTGCAAATGATGCAGTGCGTCGGATCGTCCGGCACTCGAAGTCTTGCTCCGGCTGCGCCCTTTCAACAGGTGGTGTGTGCACCGCCATCGCACGTCTCATCGATTACTCGCCTCACATTCGACGTGAGTGCCGCGGATCGGCTCTACCTTTGCTTTTATTTCTTGTGTTATGCTTTTAGGTTTGCCAAAATTAAGTCAGCGCGCCAAGACCACCCAAAGTGTGTCAATGTTGGCGCTGGGCTGGGAAGCGCGCCGCAGTGCGTACAAATTAAATTATATGTCTTGTGGTTTCGATCGAGGCCTAACGGTGCTATTTCCGCTTCAAATTCAATTAAAATCTTGGCTGCGAAGCGCCTTAATGTCAACCATGACGCGAAAGGGATGGCATATTTTCTGATTTCATTTTAATTTTAAAATTATATTAACTCAGAATCTTTTCCAAGGGACTTGATCCTATTTTTAATTTTTCGGAGGGTCTGCTTCAAAATGCGGAAAATGGATGGGAGGGTCACCTACCTACTGGGAAGACCATATCTTTGCCAATGGTTGTCCGATTCTTGAGAGGAGTACCTTAAACGATTTGTGGATTGATTCTCTTTTAATTTTCATCAAAACCCCAGCAACAAAATATTTTTTAGATTTTTTGTCAAATTTTTGGGAGGGTCCCCTTTAAAATGCGAAAAATGCATTGGATGGACAATTGGACCTACTGGGAAGAGCATATCTTTGCCAATAGTTATTTAATTATTACAAGGAATTACTTAAACTATTTGTGGATTGATTCTCAGTCAATTTTCATAAAAATCCCGCAACAAAATATTTTTCAGATTTTTTGTCAAATTTTCTGGTTCTCTTCAAAATGCCTACTGGGTACCTACTGGGAAGACCATATCTTTATCAAAAGTTATCCAATTCTTGACCGGAATACCCTAAGCGATTTGTAGATTGATTCTCTTTTAATTTTCATCAAAACCCAGCAACAAAATATTTTTTAGATTTTTTGTCAAATTTTTTGGAGGGTACCCTTCAAAATGCGGAAATGTATGGGAGGGACAATTGGACCTACAGGGAAGACCATATCTTTGCCAATAGTTATCCAATTCTTGAGAGGAATACCTTAAACGATTTGTGAATTGTCATAAAAACCCAGCAAATTAAATATATTTAGATTTTTTGTTACATTTTCTGGAGGGTCCCCTTCAAAATACGGAAATGCATGGGAGGGACAATTTGACCTACTGGGAAGACCATACCTTTGCCAATAGTTATCCTATTCTTGAGAGGAATACCTTAAACGATTTGTGGATTGATTCTCTTCTAATTGTCATCAAAACCCAGCAACAAAATATTTTTTTCGATTTTTTTTTAATTTTCTGGAGGGTCCCCTTCAAAATACGGAAATGCATGGGAGTGACAATTGGACCTACTGGGAAGACCATATCTTTGCCAATAGTTATCCAATTCTTGAGAGGCGTACCTTAAACGATTTTTGGATTGATTCTCTTTTAATTTTCATCAAACCCCAGCAACAAAATATTTTTTAGATTTTTTGTCAAATTTTTGGGAGGGTCCCCTTCAAAATGCGAAAAATGCATTGAAGGGACAATTGGACCTACAGGGAAGACCATATCTTTGCCAATAGTTATCCAATTTTAAACCTCCAATTATTTTAAGATCTATACTTCGTTTCAAGCTTACAAAACATTATTTTATAATTTATTAAATAAAAATTATAAAATATTAGCCACATAAAACGGGCTTAATACAGTATTTGTTAAAATTTTCCCAAGAACACTTCTGCGCAGTCACAATTTCGTCAGATTTAGATCGCACAAATTTCCATTCTCCTGGGATACAATGCCATTTATGGCAAATTTAAGACAAGCCCATCGCTGTGCTCATATTTCCCAGATAGAGACACGCCACACAAATTGTCTTAATTAATTAATATCATAAATATGCGACGGCGCTTAATTGCCGATGGAGAGCTGGCTGCAAAAAACAAAAGCTACCAGTAGCAGTGGCAGTGTCAGCAGAAGGCAAAAGAAAAACAAATCTCTCATGGCAACTAATTAGCCAGGAAATGACCCCGGCTGACCGAGAAGCATTCAAGGCACTCGCACACAGCTGACCGACCCTAATCGACAGGAAGCTGACTCAATCTTGAAGCGAATTGCTGCAACAGCCAAATAGCACCAGAGCCCAGGAACCCAGCAAAGCAGGGTGGCCACGAAATGTGGCTGCCACATTTGGCGATTTGCGATTGCCACTGGTACTCGACTGGGTGGTGCACTTCACTTGCAATCAATATTCATAAATCTCTTGGCAAGGGTTAACCAATTAATAACGTGACCCGTTTATTTTATTTACCTCGCTTCTCGCCTCCTTTTGTCAAATCAACCTGGGTGATCGGTCCGATCCCCGTTTTCCAATGAAAATCACTGCGCCAGACTTTCAGCATTGGTGTACAAAGCCTTTCAGCATTTGTCAACGAGAGGCGACGTTGACATCGCCGACAACAAACACGAATGCGAGCGAATGAAAGCCAACAGCCAAGAAAACTGCAAGAAAATTAAGGCAGCTAACCGGGCTCACTGCACACACTTTGGACATTGGATTAAAAAAATATTTTATTTTATATTCATACAATATCATATTGATGTTACATTACATTACATGATTGTTACATTTAAGTTTAAATGAGACTAACAGAAAACTTCTTCCTTTTATGAAGAAGGACAACCCGCACCTTTTTATTTTTTGATATTTACTATCATGGCACCACTGTGCTGCGGCAGCTCAACCTTTGTTACCTTGTGCCGAACGGAAATCGCTGACATGGACCACACCACAGCAGTCAAGTCAAGCCAAACCGAACTGAGCCAAAGAAAACCAAGCCAAGCTCAAACACAATCTCCAGAAGCTTGGCACTCAGCGAGGCTTGCCTAATGTTTAATTAAGGTGATTGCTGTGCGGTCACTTGGCGATGTTGCTGCTGCTGGTGGTGTTGTTGTTTGGCAAACGACAACAACACCTCACGATCACCAAATTGGTTTGTAAGGATAAGCTTCGGTGAGGAAGAGGGACAAATAAAAGACCTATGTCAAACGCCTGGGCCAAAGGACATCTCCAAAGAAACTGGCAGCACCACCACAAAAAGCCGTAGAAGCTGCAGCAGCAGCAGCGGCCTTAATGAAGATTAATTGCAATCAGTGAGCCACTTGAGTTGCGATTAATTGCAGGAACCAGTGGACATGGAAATGGAACCGAACTTCCTCCTAGACTGGCTGCTGATGATGATGATGCCTTTTGCCTTCGGAGCGGTTCACAAGTTCACGACTGGGACGACGGCAACTTAATTGCCATTTACATGGGACCCGGAATAGTCCGTCCTCTAGACTGTTGTGATTGCTCCCGGCCAGACTTTGTTGGTGGCACAACGCAGCTGATGAATTGCATTCGGGCCGATTAGCTCTCCATATCCCCACCATTTGCATATGCTAAACCGAAATTCGTCATAGCGGCCAAACATACATAATCGGGAATCGAAATGGTCCAAATCAAAAGTTGCGTTTAGACCACGTCATTAGCATATTACGTGTGGGTCGAAAAAGTGTGCCACAAATGGCTTCGTATAGGTCAACTTGATTATTATTATTATTTGTTTTTGCATTGTCACCTGCCGTCGCGGTCTGGGAGTTGGCGCCAAATGTCCGCGCCGCTGGCCAAATCAAATCAAATCGATTGGAACTCTAAAATGTTTATATCGAAAAAAGTGACAAGGCGAGGCCCGGCGGAAGGGGCAGGAAACCACAGCATGTGGGCCGAGTCTTGGTTTTTGTGGTTTCCATTCGAGTTAAGTTATAATTTGTGTATACTTTTTGACAACTTTCAAGCAGGAATAAATTGCCATCACGAGTCTAAAAATACAAACTTAACTCAGAAGCCGAAGGCCTGAAAAGATCAACGAATTAATACGCTCTTAATAGCCATTTAAAAGGCATTAAGCAATTGCTACAGTTTCTTATAAATGTTTTTGCAAAATTAAACAGCTACATGTCCTGTACAGGTTAGGGAATCCTCTTATAGGAATATCCAAATCTCTATAAAAATCTAGCAATCTTCTCGCATCTGTAGATATTATCAAGCACACGCCTGGGGGGTCAACCTGTTGGCGCCTTTTGGTGGAACTCGGTGGCAACCCACGCTTTTGGCCAAAA